AATGTCCTCTCAAACGTAATTCTTGTCCGCTGTTACTATTCCTATTTATTATCAATGAATGTGTAGAGTAACAGAAGTGGAGAGGAAGACGGAGGAAATGGGAAAACTTAGAGGAAGAGTGAGACCCAGAGAGAGAGGAAACCCTGTAAAAGTGAGGTCTAAGACAACAGAGGTCTTCTCAAGAAGTCCCCCAAGGACAAACCTGCAAGGGTGTGCCCATGGTGACTCAGTTTTAAGAATTTGAAGACACTTAACTTCCTGAGACCTGGAAACTAATGCTTGTTTCCACTTCTATAAAAGCTACAACCCGCTTTTTTAGCTTGATTGAAACTGACCAGTGAGAAGGGTACCCTTGGAATGGAACATTTGACTGGAGATAAAAAGATGATGAAGCCGGTCAGGGAGTGAGGTTATTATGGACTCTAGTCAGCCTTTGCTCCCCTGGCTGGAATAAAGCCCTTCCTGTTTTGTTTTGTTTTGTTTTTTAATAGGTAGTCTCATTTTGTCTCCCTCAGTAGAGTGCAGTGCCCTCACAGCCCGCAGCAACCTCCAGCTCTTGGACTTAAGCCAGTCTCTTGCCTCAGTTTCCCAAGTAGCTGAGACTACAAGAGCTCGCCACAATGCCTAACTATTTTTTGTTGCAATTGTCCTTGTTTAGCAGGCCGGTCGAGTTCGAACCCCCCCGGCCTCAGTGTATGGGGCTGACGCCATAACTGTGCTACAGGCGCCAATCTGAGCCCGTCCTCTTTTAAACAGGGTGTTTGGGTGTTCTTTCTCTCCACTGGGCCTAACTTCCTGCAACAACATGAATGCTGCCTACTAGAGGACATGGGAGGGATTTGCAAAGAGACTTGTGAAAGAGAAGGTGTTAACAGTGGAGCCAATCAAGTCCAAAAACCTGATGTCGAGCAATAGCTAAAGTTTATTTGGCGCTCGAGTGAAGGCGGGCTATGTTCTACCTCAGGTTTGGGGCTGTGCCCTGGAGGGGAGCTCAGTGCAACCCAGCTCTCCTCTGCTGCCCTGTGTGTGGAACGTCACCAGGAGGAAGGCCGACTCTTCTGAGGGGGTCAGAGAATCAGTTTACCTTTCTGTTGGAGCGTATTGTCCCTGCATCCCTCTCGGTGCAGTGGGCAGCAGAGGACCTGCCTTTCCGCAGGGCAAGGTCTTCCCTGTGAGAGTGGTTGTGTCACAAAGAGGGAGCGCATTGATACACACAATAAGCAGAGTATTTTCTTATTGAAGATTGACTTCTAAAGAATCTAGTTACCTGAAGAAGAAGCCCAGACGAGGAAAGAAAAGGATTCAGAAATGGCTGTGCCTGTCGTCTGAGTCCCCCTCCTTTCTGAAATGCTAGCACTGGACTTCTGATCTCTGTTTCATTTCATCTAAAGTTTTCTTTTTCTTTTCTTTTTAATTGAGACGGAGTCTCACTATGTCACCCTGGGTAGAGTGCCAAGGCATCACGGCTCACAACAACCTCCAACTCTTGGGCTTAAGGGATTCTCTTGCCTCAGACTTCCAAGTAGCTGGGACTACAGGCGCTGGCCACAATGGCCAGCTGTTATTTTTGTTGCTTTTGTTCTCATTCTTGTCTAGCAGCCTGAGCCTCTTTCAAACCTGCCTGCCTAGGTGTATGTTGCCAGTGCCCTAATCACTGAACTATGAGCTCCCAGCCCCTCAAAGTTTTTCATACTGGGAAACTGTATCCCCAGCAACACCAATTCCCCCACTGATTTTTCATTTGTCTGCCGTTGTCATGGTGTCTTTATAAGAATTCAACGACATTAAGTATTCCATAGGAGCAGAATCCCACACTCTTTGTCTTTTTATGACTGGCATGTTTTTCATAGCATAAAGTTCTTGAGGTTCATCCATTTTGTAGCATGTGACAGAATTTTCTTTTTATTTTAAGACTGAGTAATGGGCTCGGCGCCTGTGGCTCAAGTGGCTAAGGTGCCAGCCACATACACCTAAGCTGGTGGGTTCAAATCCAGCCCAGGCCAGCTAAACAACAATGATGGCTGCAACCAAAAAATAGCCAGGCATTGTGACTGGCGCCTGTAGTCCCACCTACTTGAGAGGCGGAGGCAGGAGACTAGTTTGAGCCCAGGAGTTGAAAGTTGCTGTGAGCATGCCATGGCACTTCACCCAAGGTAATAGCTTGAGGTTCTGTCTCAAAAAAAAAAAAGACTTCAGTAATGTTGCATTATATGCATATACTATATTCTTGTTACCCACTCGTCTGTAGATCACGTGTTCATTCCTTTCTCTTTTTGCCTGTTGTGTATGATGCTGTAATGAGCTTGGGAGTGCAGATACCTCATCGAGAGAAACCTTTCAAACTTTTGACATATACACACCTAGAAGTGGAGTTGCTAGATCATGTGGGAGTTGTATTTTGGTTTTTGAGGCACCCCCTTGCTGACTTCCATGATGGATACAGAACATTTTACTTTTGCAGCAACAGTGCATGAGCGTTCACACTTCTCCACATGGACTTAGGGTCTTCTGTTCTGACATTAGTAACCCGATTATGGTGTCAAGTCTTTCTGTGATGTTAATTTGCATTTGTCTTGTGATCAGTGATGGTGAGCATCTTTTCATGTGCCTCTTGGCCATTTGCTTATCTTTTTTTTTTTTTTTTTTGTAGAGACAGGATCTCACTCTGGATCACTCTGGCTCACTCTGGCTCATGCTGGTCTTATGCTGGTCTCGAACTCAGCTAAGCTCAGGTGATCCACCTACCTAGGCCTACCACAGCGCTGGGACAACAAGTGTGAGCCTCTTGGCCTTTTTTTTTTTTTTTTTT